TTCAATGGACATGGAGAGGAGATGGTGTTGTGTAGCTGTATGTGATGAGAAGGATAGATAGAACGTGGGTTTTGCGGCTGTTTCTGCCATTTTTACAGTGTTTTTCTTTACTATTTTTTTTGGGTGTTGGTGACGGTGTGTGGGCCGTACGTATGGGGAGCTGGACACACTTTCTGTGCGTGTGTTGGAAAATTTACTATTTTGGAAACGTAAAATCTTACAATCTATCATTTCGTCGGAATTTATAACCGTTAGATCATCATGTAACTTTTATGGATAATTGATCTAACAGTTAAAAATCCTAATAAAATGATTTCGTAACGGAACTGAAGAATCTCCCTTTGGAAAAACACAACTAATGAGTTATTTAATTTTGACTCAACATCAATCCTCGTGTTTTTTTTTTCTTTTTTTTTTCAAAATAAATAAGAGAAAAAGAAATGTTATTTTAGATGAATCCTTGTATCTATGTCTATTAAATTAGGGTTGAGAATAAGACTTGAAATTTTTTTCGAATCGTTCGTCAAATTGAATTTACTCTGAATTAAAAAATAACAGTTGACTGTTGTCAGGTATTATTATATTTATAGAATTGGGGGAAGATAGCGCGGTCAGAAGAAAAACAACATAAGAGGTGAGCTTATATGTATCTTAGTAAAGTTTCAACATAAGAGGTGAGCTTATATGTATCTTAGTAAAGTTTCAACTAAAAATTAATTGGTGGTGGAATAAGTAGCCAACTAGACTTATAAATTAGACATCAATGTGGGACAACTCACAAAGTGATATTCCAACACGCCCCTTACTTGTGAGTTCTTCTCTAATCGTCCTAGAGCAAGCTCGGTTAGCAGAGAGTCATCACAAATTTGCTCTAATACCATATTATATTTATAGAATTAGGAAAAAAGAGTGTGGTCAAACCAGATGAAGTGCACCATAAGAGGGTGAGCCTATGTGTAGCTTAGTGGGGTTCCATTCTAAAACCAATTGTTGATGGAAGGAGTAACTCACTAGACTTATAAATTTGGCTCATTTACCTTATAGAATCAATGTGGGACAACTCACAAGTAATATTCCAACATGTATGTATGAAATATATACGAGCGGTACTTCACATTAGAATGACCTGAAAAACAATTTTATAAAATCTATTCTTTCACCAAAACTAGGATGTTAACTAAGAAAACATTTCGAAATACACAAATATATTTGTGAGATCAATTCAACCATATTTTGATATAAAAATATATTTATACAATTAATTTTATATTTATATTTTTATTTTTTAAAACATGTCAAATTCTAATTCTAATGAAAATATGCAAAAAGATTGTCATTTAAATGATTAGGCATGACTATTACTAGTGTTTGCACTGTTGTGTTTGATGTGTATCATCTTGTCTCTTTCTTAGGTATCTGACAACAAGATTAGGGGTTGGACTTTAATATTTTTAGTTTTTTTTTTCTTTTTAAATAAAATCCAGAAAGTTCTAAAACACCTCTTAGTTATTCAAAAAAATTTAACTGATATTAGATTGAATTAACGGACAAAACTCATATAATTTTTTTTTTAAAAAAAAAGCATGCTTAACTATTAATAATCAAGGCTATTTTAATCAAATTATGTTAAAAATGGAGTGGCCTACGTACCTGGTAAAGGTACCAACTAGCAAATAAAATAAATATATTTATTTCACAATTTGGTGCTGGCAATGTCCATACGGTTGCTGTACCTCTCCTTACCAGAAATAAAAATTATAAACATTAATAAAATTAAATAAAATAAAATAAGATAAATAAAGAATGGACATATTTTTCTCAAAATCCAGATCATTGGTTAGGGGCTCTCTTGTTAATTTTTGGCCATGCACATGCTATGTTCTGACCATCTGCTCTTCCACTAAATAAGCAAGCAAGAGGGCCTTTGGGGACAAATAATTGGACTTCAATCCATCCTTCTTGTTGGGTCAATGATCGAGCGCTTGAGTCAATGCTCGACTTTAGGTCAGTCAAACTCGAGCTTGAACAGTTCAATCAAGCAACCGAATCGCATCTCGAGCATCATTTGAAAAGGCACATAAGCTGGACAAGTCGCTCGACTTTTTATTCATATAAACACTCCATATATTCTAATTATCAATACAAGAACACCGAGGCCAAATTAACTATTTAGATTAAAAATAGTATTTTTATATTTAAAACTTAATTGTTAAAATTTCGAGTCGAACTCGAACCATATCGAGCATCGAGTCGATCTCGAGCATTCTTATATTTTACAAGTTGAGTCGAACACCATTTTACATTGCTCATCGAGCTCAAGCAGTAAAGGAAAGTGTTCAATGTGCGCTCGACAAAGTCTATGCTTAACTCGACTCGATTCGTTTGCAGCAGTAATTTTTTACTTACCATTAACACACATCCGTGTAAATGGAAGTGAATATGTGTGATCTAATTGTTAAAACCTTCATATGACACTGTTCGTGGGGTACGATCGAAAAATGTACAAATTCTCTTATACACAATACATGGTTAGGTAGACGGGTCGACTCAAGATACTTTTTAAATAAAAATCAAAATAAAATATATTTTTAAGTACTTACAATTTTTTTTGTAAGGTATGAGATTATTATATGAAAATATTATTAAAAATATATTGCTTAATGGTTAGACCAATCTACAAAACCATATATTTTATGCCACTAATTATACTCTTTTGGATTTGACCCAAATTAGATTCAATTATTTGTAGCACCAATTTGTGCTAGGATAGAACCAATTTCATATAGTACTCTTACTCCTCAATTTTCTCTTATTAGGTAGAGGACATTCATTGACTTGACCAATCTCCAGTAAGAATTATTCCAATCATTAATATCATAAATATTTTAATTTTACTTACATTTATGGCTCAAACAGTCAATTGAAAGGCAAGGCTTACAAAAGTCCTTTCATTTCACTGGATTACCCATAAAGACAAGCATGATTATAGTGTTCAAATTTAGGTTTGCAAATGTTGTTATCAATGAGCCAATCCAATTGGATGATAGATGGAAATTTAACATATAAGAATGGGAGAAAAACGAGTGCGATTCAACGCGCGTGAAATGAGAAGTATCCCATTAGACTTAAACTAAACATATTTTCCTTACGTGTGACAACTCACAAGCGAATATTCTAATATGCCCCTTCACTTGTGAATCTTTAATAAGAAAAGTCCAAGTCCATATACGGAGCTCGATTTTTTTTATTTTATTTTCTTTTTGGTGCATGTATTGTTTTCTTGGTCAAAGATTATACACAACACCAATTTGGTATGATTGGACAAAACTTGTATATCAGATGCCTGATTTTGCAATCCATCCACCATGTGAGTAATCTCTATGTGATGGGGTCCAGAAACATTTAAAAATAATATGTATTTGAAATTAATACACAAATAATAACCCAGTGAATTTGAAAAGGCTCAATGCAAAGGGGGCTGCATATATGCATGATTTTTTTATTTTTTATTTTTTATTTTTTTTTGTCTTAATTAGTTTCAGTTATAATAATGATGGATGGTTAAATTAAAAATTATTCACTCTCAGTTTTATTACAAAATAATGTCCTTTATAATGTGTTTGATAAATATCAATAAGATAGCTTAATTATAAGTCGTTCAACTTATAAACTTCTTGTATTTAGATAATTTAATTTGGTTTGGCAGCAAGAACTTTTTAAACACTACTCAAACTTATCTCATAAATAATTTCTGTAGATAGCTTTTTTAAAGTCAGCTGAAATTTTTATTCCAACTAGTTTACGTGCTTACAAAATACTTTTATTATATCATATCAACTATGAACTATAAAGTTGAAATTTAATTTACTTATAAACTATTAGCTAATTTTTCAACTGATTAAATTTATCAATCATTTAAATTATTTTTATTAGATGCAGAAATAGTAATCCCCTACCCCACCCAGAAAAAAAATGTTCAAAAGTTAGGTATTGTGCTCAAAATAATATAAAATATTCTTTTTTTTGTTTCTTATACCAATATTAAAGTTTGAAAACATGTTTGGTACATGGGCCTTTATTATAAATAAAGCAACTTTTGTGCCCTAATTACATAATATATACCAAATTTCATGTGATTTGTCTGGACAGAAAAGACAGTATTTGAATTTTAAGTTAGATATCTGTACACATTTTGGATGTTACTTACAATTAGACATGGCCAAGGCTGCCCGGCCTGCCGACTCCCGTTGACCGCGTGTCCTGGACCGGACCAAATTTTAGACGGGCCGTTTCAGGGTTATCAATTTATGACTGGGCACGGTGGGCCTGGGCCGGGTCGGGTCGGGCCGATAGCCAATTTGTCTAATTTTTTGGATGTTACTTATGTTAGATTTTGATTAAGTTTTGTCCCACATCGGATGTATACCAAAGATGTGTAGGATCTTATTAGTATAAATAGGTCAATTGTCTTTCGGTTACAATTGCACCTTATTCTATTCTCTCCTATTTAGAAGGAAATCATTAATTAAGGAAATCCTATTTTGTGGGTTATTTAACCCTTGTTGTATTTTGTTGGTGAGTTTAGTAAATTTGGCGTTGCGGTTGGCGGTGCCCGGAGACGTAGGCTATTTTCGCCGAACTCCGTTATCAATTTTTGTGTTCCTTTTATTTCTCGTCTTTTATTTGTGTTGGCTTATTTTGGAGTAGACATCGCCATATT